TTTTTTATTTCAGACAACTCTGTGGTTCTCTATAGTTTTTTTAACGATCTTGCGAATCATTTTTTGGCGTGTCAAATATTATGTCTGTGAGGTTTAAATGATACATCGTCGACATTTTGATGATGTCCGCAATTAGTATATATTTCGGTGTATAGTAACCTTTTGTTAGGTTACGTTCCCATTCGCATATAGCTCGAGCAAAGATTAGTCGACAAAAAGAAATTAATACGTTTTGTATTTTATTTTAAAGAGGAGAGTTGGTAGACGTGTGAGAAAATGAGAATCACAAGAATCTAGTCTTGGGGCTTTATTAGGAAACTTTTAGAGTTATGGTAACAATATTTAACACTATTTCTGATATAAATCTACTCTATTACTTACTGAAATAATAATTAATATTTTTTAGATATTAATATTAATATTACATTAATGTTATATTATATTAATATTAATTAATATTAATATTATATTAAAAATTATATTAATATTAATATTACATAAATATTAAAATTACATTAATATTATTATATTAATATGAAAATTACATTAATATTAAAATTATATTAATATTATTATATTAATATTAAAATCAATATTAATATTATATTAATATGAAAATTACATTAATATTAATATAACATTAATATTAATATTACATTAATATAACATTAATATTAATATTACATTAATATTACATTAATATTATATTAATATTAATATTATATTATATATAATTAATATTATATTAATTATTATATTAATATTAATATTATATTAATATTTTTTAAATATCAGCATACTATTTTTATCAATGCACGATACCTTGAAACGAGACAAGCAGTTTCAACTAAACCCGAAGCTCAAGATGTCAGCGAGTGTCACATCTCTCGATATAATTTACGATCTACCTGTACCGCATTTCCTGCATGAATCTAATCGTGCAATCTGTGATATGCATAGGATTCCTTCTCGAGCAACAGTAGCTCACGTGATTCACGATCTCGAATTCGGTTCCATAGAAATGCTGGCGAGTCGAATTTTTTTGCAACCTTGGGGGGAGGGGGGAAAGAACGAAATGATTACGCGCGTGCATGCACCCGATCGCCGTGAATCGCGAGATTATCTACAGCGTTGCACTTTTGATAAAGCTGAGAGTGCGTAGAAGTCGTGAACAATTTCGTTCGATGTTTCGTTGCAAAATTTATCTGGAGGCTCTTTCGATAAAACGAAACGAGCCGGCGATATCGTTTTAACAAACATGCTCTGTGCACGTTTATCCACGTGTCTGGTTCGTGTGTATATAACTCGACGAAAGATCACATTACCGTCGTCGTTTCGCCGCTCATACGAACCGGAACCCACTCTCAAATCTAATTTATACCGTGCTCGCTTATTTCGTTCGTGCAATTATGATTATCCTGTTGTATATATATAATATTACGCGCCATCTCGCGTCGAGAGCCGTCCTCCGAGGTGGTATTCCGCTTTCGCAAGTCGCAATTGCCATCGTTGAACAAACGATGATAATTAAGCCTAAGTTGTCATAATTGGTAGCCACAGTTGGCCAAAACGAAAAGGTAGGAAACAAGGGAAGTAGGCTACGGTAGTGCGCCGCCATGTACAGGGAAACAAGCGTCTGCAGGTCGTTGTAATTAATGTGTTTTTGCGTCGTTGGGACATTAAACGTCGCTAGTGTGTAACGGCGACGATAGGGTAAAACTCAGGTATGTTAATGGACGTGATAGTAATTGGTCGTTGGTTTGCTGTTGCTTTATAATTTGCGAAACGGCCAATTAACATTCTCGAAAAAGGAGTAGGTGGTCCTTGATCAGTCCGCGGGGATTATGGAGCTTTCGGGTAAGAAGCTCTGGACGCTCGGCCGATAAAAAAGTATTGATAATTTTAATTGAATCCTTCGTAAAAAATCGTAATCGGAATCGATGCGCCAATCGGTCGGCGGATTTTACGAGCCTGCTTGCCGTTAACTCGATACGATTACCAAGGAGGAGAATTCGGGTTGGTTGCCGAAACGTAAAAAGGGAGAGCAGGGGGCAAACGAGGACAATTAAATTTATTTAACGAACGGCTGCGAAACGATCCGAACGAAAACACGACGGTGGTCGAATTGTTGCGAAAAAGACGATTAGCTGTACACGTTTCGAACGTAACGGAGAATGAATTTACGTACGTAAGTACGTAATTCGAACATTTGAAACGACGTTTCGCCATCGTCGTTGTTGAAATGTACGGAAATACGAAAGTAGCAAAACTCGTGTATAAAGGGAGAGCGCGGAGATGCAACCTCGCTCGCTTGAACTGCGATGTTCTTCCGCGATGAAAAACACACATGCAGGTATTATACACAGAAGAGAGTCGCCCAGTGCTCGATACCTGTATATTGGCTTGTGCACGGCAAGATCTTCGATCAAGAGCATGCGCACGTTCGTGCGCGAACCAACAGGCTACGAGGACCTGAGGTATAACGTGCAACCCGTCGAGAATACTGGAACGTATACACGTTATTTATACATGTACCTGTTGCTTTCTCTCGGCTGCAGTCAAGACGCTGGAGCTACGACGCCCGGGAGAACTCAAACTACTCGGGCCGATCGGTGAGAATTCGCCGTCGTAACACGAATTCACCGTTGCTGGTACGCCGGTTCTGTTGCCTGTGTTCCTCGGACGAGGAACGATGCCTCCTGCGTAACACTTGGCAACACACACGCACGAACACCCGAACGCCGACCGATCTGCCTTAAAGGTAAGCGTCACTCGGGAATCAGTGGATACGAGAAGGATTCTTCCTGGCTTGTCCCATCGCCGGGCTTCACGCGTTGCGTAATTTTCCGCTTGTACGTTCTTCACGTTGTTGTTGTCGTCGTTCAACTGGCACCACCTCACAATTGCACCTGCACTTGCACTTGCATCGCACCGCGCGAGTAACAGCGCAAAGTTGCGGCGGCACGGCCGAGTCGTGGGGCCCCGACAGATCACGGGGTACCGTCGCGCTGTTCTATATCGTGTTGAGAGAACCGAAGACGGTGGCATCCTCGCGGCATCACCGTACACTGCACTCGAGTCAAGCCGAACGCTTGGCTCGCTCTCTTTCACTCTGTGTTTCTCTTTCTCTCTCTCTCTCTCTCTTTCTCTTTCCACCTCTTATCTTCTGTCTGCCTCTCTTTCTCTCTCTTTCTTAACCTCCAAGCCGATACTTTACTCTTAGCTTTTTCTTCCGATATTGTTTTGTTGCTTCCGATACTTTACTCACTCTCGAGCCGAGTCTATCGCGTTTTCGCAGAAGAGATCAGACATCGTCATTCGGCGACCGTTTCGCGGTTCAACGATCGAGAAGCCTGCCGGATGAATGTCTGGCGGTAGCGCTAACATTGCCGTAAGAATTGTCTCAAGGTCGCGGACGTGGGTGAAGACACTTCAATCGAACGAACCGATTGATCGCGGCATTCTTGCCAAGCTTCGTACTGCCGCGCAAAAACTTGCGCGTACGCGATCAAGATCGAGGGAGAATAAAAAAGAGAAAATATATATACATATATATATATATATATATATATATATATATATATATATATATGTACACGTCGTCGCGAAAGGGACACTTTGCGATCAGTTCTCGGACGATGCGCAATTCGGCTTGATACACGGTGCTCTCGAGATATCCTTTTTCGCAGTTGTAAACTGGAAGGGTACCCACGGTGTAAGTACGATGGCACGGCAACACGCAGTCGAGAGACTCGAATCGGACTGGCTGTTGAGATGAGGCCCTTTTCCCCCCACTCCTAGGCCCCTTCGACTGGTTGCTTCTCCGCTCGCGTTAGGCCTCTCCCCGCCCTCTCCCCCCCCCACTTTCCACATGCCTCCGGACAATCTCCTCTCATCTCTCCCCCGCGGCCCCAGCGACTCTGCCTCGCATCATTGTATCTTTTCCTTTCTTTTCAACCTCCTTCAATGCACCCGGTGTGTTTCGTCCTTTCTTCCACCGCGCATGAACTTAACCCGAGAAGCTCCTAATGTGTACGTACATACGTACTCTCGTAGATGGTCGTGTGCACGCCTCCCCTCCCTTTCTACAAACCTCTCTTCGTAATCGTGTCCAAAGCGTTTCTCTCCTCGCAGCAGCTTCTGATAGGTGTCCCGGCTGACGTCGCGAGTGCAGCATCACTGTCAGAGGTACAACTTTGCAGACATTGTACGCGTGAATAGCTATCGAAGATCACGGCAGGCATTTTACTACGTACTATCACGACCGTGCCGTGACTGTTACAACGTGTATACCTATGTAGCTTTCAAATTGCGCTAACGAGGCCCGGTTACCACCGTTTAGGATGGACACGATTGTAAATTTCGTTCGCCATCTGTCAGAAAAGGCGAGATATTTGAAGCGAGGCTTCATTTAGACTTGGAGATTCATATTCGGTCGGTTCCTCTCGTTGCAAGCTCGATGATATTCTTCAGTTAATTGAGAAACGAAACTAGAGCTCTCTTCTAGGTTATCATTTCCTGTTAGTGTCGAATAAATGTACGTTGTACGCCGACAAAATATAGTATAACTTAAACCTATTTCAAAAAGAGAATTTAACACAATTGAAATATAATCTAAATTCATGTCAAGTCTCAGACTTATGCTTCCTCATTTTGTAACATCCAATGGTTCTCAATACCAACATTCGTTTAGACTTCTCTATCTCAAGTTTGTACTTTGAAAATCATTTATATAATATTTGCGAGTTGTAAGACGAAAGAAGAATCCTCGACCAATAAGTTATATGCACATAATCGTAAGCATTACCATCATCACCGAATGCCTCGTGGCGGTAACTAAAAGAATAATTGTGATTGACCCGATAACGGGACATATTTACACGTTGTTAACAGAGGTGAGAACAAGTGTTCAGCGCGCGTTTAATTTTAAATGAAACGCCGCCATGCTCGGCAACGTTCGGGCACGTACGGCCACGTTCGGGCACGTCCGGCCAACCACGTGACTGCGTCGAGAAATATGGCGTGAAGTTGGCACGAAGATGGTTGTCGTGAGTTACGAAAGAGTAGACGATTTCTCGCGGGGAAGGCGCTTCCCAGTTCTCCGGAAAAAGTGCCACATTCCTATTTTACCCTCCGATCTAGTTAGCGAAAGATAGTGCGATGGTATACGATATCAAATGGATAATACCGAAGCTCCGAAATACGAGCAGCCTCTGGAACATCGCGAGTAGCATAACCTTTGTAGCAGTAGGGATTTTCTCTAAAATCATTATAGGTAAGTGGCTACGCACGCCGGTTTGTTAAAGAAAAATTAATACAATTCATTTCGTCGATGTCGATACGTCCATTCGTTAATGAATCTTTCTCGTTTACCGTTTGTACGTTGATGTCACTCTCGCGATATATATCGAATTTTTATTTTACTTTGTGGAGTGTAATTTATGTACTTTTATGATTCATACAGAAAAATAGAAAGAATATTTAAACGAGTGGTTTGCATTGAAAGATCGGACTCGATACTCGTAGTAATTAAACGCGCGAAACATGTTGCAACGTGAGAAATATACGGAGAAATATCGCCGATTTATGTAATAATTCATGTATGTATATTCATAAAAGTCATCTTATTTAATCGCTGCGATAATCATAGATCGACATATCGAAGCGACGTATAATCTACAATCTGATTATAATAAGTTTGTAAAAGTTATTTTCAATTTTCAATTTTCGACCACTGAATAACATCGTACGATGTTTACAGATGACACGTGCTTTTTTTGTCAATGCTTTTCTAATATATCATACATCTGACTTAAGTTAAAAAATGATTTCAAACTAAGACGACATAAATTGTACAATTTTTATCAAATAATCGCCACGGATAAATCTTGAATACATCGTATTCAACGTATGTCGTTATAAGATATTGAAACAAAGACGTGACGAACAAAGGTTACGCACGTTTGCAATTGAAACAATTTTCGTATCAATGAATATACATAAATCTAAAGTTTAATTTAGAACCGTATTTCACATATCATTCGACGATTTTTTTAACATTTAGCCTGTGTATAAATACAAATGTATACACAAAGAAATTGATAATTACACGTTTTAATTATATATATATATATATATATTTAAACACACGTGAGCAGAACAGAGGCAGGAAAATGCAAAGAAAAAGTTTTGCGTGCGACAGGTATAGTTAATTAATTTATACACACTTCATTGCTATAGAATTGGTCGTGTAGGTTTTTATTTTTTATGACGTCATCAGTCAAACGTTACGCGAAAGTGCGGCGTAAATCCTTTATTTAACCTCAAACGTACTTATTACAAAGTCCGGCTATTTTTTTTCTTTTTTTCTTTTTTTAATGTTTGAATATATATTAATAATACATATTAACAACGAATTAACATACATACATGTGTTGCGCATGCATTTTATCACTCCACTAATTTGAACTTCGAATTGTTGTATTTCGTCCCGGAAGTGAGGAAGTGGCGATGTGTCTCGCGCCATTTTTACATTTTTGTTTTGCGAAGATTTGGCGTTTCTAATTTCAGGAAGGGTCAGGTTACCGCCCGACAAAGGGCACAGGAAATCAGTCATTGGCCAACGCTGGCCTTTCAGTGAGTACCACTGATTTACAATGGTCCCGGCTTGGTGTTGACTTAGTTACGATACAATAAACTTCGGAAATTAAGCGCATTACTCAATTGGTTGGGCGCGTAGCCGCGCCACATATACGTGACCATCCTCCTATCTCCTTCTCTCCAACCCTCCCCTTTCTTTTCCACGTGCCTCTCTTTTTACTCGTTTTTTATCAGTTTATCCGCGCGCAATAGCCGCCATTGGTTTCTTTCAATTTAGAGTTTTCTTCGTTTTAATATTATATACATATATATAATCAATACAATATATATATATATATATAATAAATTTATTATATATATATTAATTATATTATATTGTATTATATTGTATTGATTAAATTAATCATATTAAATTAATTTAATTAATTATTAAATTAAATTATATTGTATTGATTAAATTTCATCTAGTATACTAGAGCTTCCTTTTTGTCCATTTAGATAATGCCGATAACTAGTGCTAGAGTTTACGTGCTTTCCACAGTGATTTTTATTAAGTAATTGAGACGATTGCTTTTAAAAGTTGAATGGGTATGAATCACTATTAGCATACTAGAGTTTAGATAGAATAGTGCATGATTAAATTTTCGCACAGAGATCGCACTTGCATCTCTCTTCGTAGTTTCAATTTTAACTGTTACGTTAATCTTCTAGTTTCATATTTTCACAGTAGGTGTTTCAAGTTTTCGCACTTTCACGTATAGTAGCGTGCAGTCGAAATCGACTTGCAGCCTTGAACAGAGGTTGTTGAACTCGTTGGAAAAGTAACAGCTGCTCTATAAAACAAGACAGAAGAAAAGTAAACTCTGATCATTTTCGAAACATCGTCAGTCAGGATCGTTCTTCGTTCATTCGCTTCTTCGCCGAAAACGATTTTTTTTTTCATTTTCCAATTTTCAGGACAATCATATCGGTTACATCGCCGGGGGTCAGTCGCATCATTCGATTTCATTACGTAATCAGTTTTGATAAAAGTAACAAGATCCCATGTTTTCGACGAAAAAAAAAAAAAAAGAGTAATTTGTCCGGCATCGTGACAGCTTTGCTTGAAATTTGTGGCATTGTGGGGAGCCCTGTTTCACTGACAATGAGACAAAAACAAAAACAAGAAGGAAAAAACCAATTCTATGCAAAAAAGAATCGAGATGAAGTGTGTGTCACGGCTCCTGTGTACAGTTACATGCAGGAAAACGTACAAACTCCAACGCTGCCCTTACAATCCGTCCCTCACGCGAGACGCGAATTAATTTATCGAAGGACTTCTTTCTTTTTCGTTCGTGCTGTTTAAGAATGGCTGAACAGAACGACAGTGTACAACAAGCAGATCATCAATCAGGCATTAGAAAAGCGGCCGAGAAATGTCCCGCTCATCACCGTGTCAAATCATCACAGTTGCTTCGACGATCCAGGGATATGGGGTAAGAAGTCTCTTCAGTATGATTCAACAATTGCAACCATCGGCCATCGGCCATTGTCCGTGTTGAACAGTGGACCGATGTTTCATCGATATTATCTCCTATCTTCGTTCTTACGCTTCGTTGGCAAACATTTTGTTCCAAGTGTCGATTAACAAGCCTCTATCGAGACAATGAAACAATAGCTGAAGAGTATGCACTTTTTTCAGATTTCCAAGTATGTTTTATCAATAAAAGTAAATGATGTTTCGCTTTTTCTTCTTTTTTTTTTTTTTTTTTTTTTTTTTTTTTACATTGTTCACTATTACACGAATCGAAAACGAATGAGTCGAGTTGACATACACGCGGACTTGCTTCGATTTTACATAAATACTTACATTTATATTTATATATAATAAAATTAAAATTTTACATAATTTATATAATAATTTATAATATATATATAATATTACTGACATTGTTTTGTTTATTTCGTACGGTCGACGAGATAAATTTTTCTTCAGTTCAGTATGACAATCAGTTAAACAATTTCGATAGATTTATAATAATCTCTTACAAAATACGGAAACAGTACGACGTATGCTGAAAGCTTTCTGTTTCATCTGTTTTCGTTTATTTTCATTAAAGATCGATCAATTTAAATGAATTCACATGCATACACCTAACACGCACAACTTACGCACAGCATACGCGCGCATTCCCCTTCTCCTGAAACATATATAATCTTTTCTTCCTCAGAATGACCATCGATAAGCGATCGAATGAAAAAATTTAAGACAGAAAAATCTCTGAACTCATTTAGCGACCCTGAACCTGAAGTGTCTGATGAATCGACGTAAGATGAGGTGGTCGCTCGCGGCCCACGACATTTGTTTCACAAACATCTGGCACTCGTACTTCTTTATGCTGGGCAAATGCATTCCCGTGATCAGAGGTGCCGGTGTGTATCAGGAAGCTATGGATTTCTGCATCGAAAAGTTGGCAGCTGGTGATTGGGTTCACGTTTTTCCCGAGGGAAAAGTAAACATGTTTAAAGAGAACATGAGGTTTGCGATTATTTTTGTTTTTTTTTTGTTTTTTTCCCCTTTCTTTACTGCTTCTTTGTTCTTCTTTATCGTTTTGTGTTTCCCTATTTAATCACTATACTGATAAAAGATTACTTATTTATTACAAAGGTTGACATTCCACTGATCTGTTGCAGATTAAAGTGGGGCGTTGGAAGGTTGATCTTGGAATCACCCGTCACGCCGGTGGTGATTCCAATATATCACCTTGGCATGGACGAGGTTCTGCCAAATGAACCGCCGTATCGATTAAAAATCCGCAAAAAGGTCACCATGAATTACGGTGAGCCGATAGATTTTACCGAGCTATTAGGAGAACTGCGTGCGTCGAAAGCAAGCGAAGTGGAAGCGAGAAAAGCCATTACGGATCGTATTCAGACCGAACTTATAAAGTAAACTGTTATTTTGATCTCAGTAATGTTTTATGTTACTCGCGATGATGATAATCCCTGTATCTTTTTTTATTTTTTTCCAGACTGAAAGCGATCACAGAAGAGCTTCACAAAAATTCATGATGTTTAAACGGGGAACATCCTTGTTGTCATCTAGAGTAGCTTTAATTTGCCAAAAAAGATAAATTTTAATTCTAATGCGACAATAGATGATACATGTTCGGCTTGTAACTAAGGATGTTCACCTGTGAATGACGTATTAGTGACATATATGCAATTGTGTAATATCGGGATAGTAGTAATTTAATTCTTCTTTTTTCCTTCTTTCTTTACTTTTCCTCGTGGCGAGGAAGAGAAGGAAAAAGGAAACGTTATATCTATCGGGGAATTTTAATTTAAATGTAAGTCGCGTTGACTTAGGTATGCCATATATTCGCGTTTCGCGTACACATCGCCGCATGCAAAATAATGTATATACGTATACGTAGGAAAAAAGTCGTATTACGTAAATACTCAATAGAGCGTAAATACAATACAGCTATTGTTTGTTGTAGAAATTTTAACACATACGCAAATTACGGGAGCTCGTGAAATATAAAATTGAAAATGTCCGCCTTTCCCGCCTTCGTGTGTCCACTTTTTCTTTGTAATATTTCAGAGCTTCGTAATTTGCAATGCGAGAGCATAAGCGTGACAATCTTATGCACAAAAATATGGAGAATACCGTGATAATTATTACCTAATAAATATTGAATAAATATTCCTCGCAAACAAAGGATAATTCGATTTGTTAATACGATTAAGATCTTGAAATTGTGTAACTTTAGATTGTCTTCTTCAATGAATATAATATTTGTTGCAAACTTTGTATAATATACTAAACTTATTTTGTGTATACTGAAAAATTTTGTATGACTCCATGATTTGAATATAGTTGTATATTTATAAAGAAAGGAAAAAGAAATGATTTTAACTGAATGATAAAAATAAAAATCAAGACGAATTTGATTAAATAACCAGTTTCTACTCTTTCTTAGATTTTTAAACGCGTTTGCAAAACAAGATGAAATTGTAGTGCCTACAATCGATTATCAAACATTTAAATAATTATATGCACACGCGTATAGTTTTTGATATTTTTGATATTGTAAGAATTTACAGTATTTATATTAAAGACACTTCGAATGATAAAAGATATTTCAAAGATATGCATATTTTGTATTTATTAAATTTTCATTATAAATAGTAAAATATCTTCAAGAAGAAAACTATTTTCTGCAATCTATATTGCAATCTCTAAATACGAGTATTATTGAAAAATATAATTTTTTGTTTTAATCAATTATTTTTCGCATTGTGTTCAAGAAAAAATATGTAGAATATCGTGATAGTAGATTATTATTTGCAAACAAAAGATAATTCGATTTATTAATACGATTAAGATCTTGAAATCATATAATTTACATTATCTTCTTCAATAAATATAATATTTATTTCAATCTGTTTTTAATAATTATCAATATAATCAATATTTATATTACTCTATGAAGAATAGTATTTATACGAATAATTCAACAAATTACACGTAAGATCAGTATTACATATGAAAAATTGTGACTATATTACATTATTTCATTACGATATTCACAGATAAATCTTGTACATATATTCCTTTCTTGTATATATTACATCGTCATTCACCATTACGACATTATTATTTGTTGGAATGGAAAGATCGGATCTTGGCACATCTTCTCTTTGCGTAGAAACAGACATAGTTTCGGTTCTACAAGTAACACAACGAAAGCAACACACAATACTCACTTTTACAAGACGAATGAAATCTATACAGTAATTACGTTATATATACCATAAACTTTAAATAGACAGAACGGTATATAACACTAACGAGATAAAGTTTATATGGTATACATTAGGTATTATCACTCTCATCTTATCACTTATCTTTTCAGTTTCCTTAGAATCATACAAATAAAATATGAAACATGATAGCCGAAAGTTCGATCGCGAAACTTTGATTGAAGCATGTCCAAAAATATGGATTATCTTGTAAATCAATAAGCCATTTTTCTTGAATAGATTTAAATACAATAAATTTTTATTCATTGTTTCTTTCTATAACAGATACACAAGTGTAACGTCTAAAGAAATATTTTTATTTTAAAATGTATTTGATATTTTCAGTTAATCTTTTACAATTTTGAATCTATCGGTATTTGGACGGTTTAAGAAATGAAAAATAACAATAAACAATATTTAAATATTGCTCAATTCTAACAACAATACTTGCTGTTAAAATATATTGATAGAATTATCTTGTACGTGAGTATTTGTAAATTTATAATTTATAAGTACCTATCACTATGTAATATACATATTAAGATTCTACAGAATTGAAATAAAAATAAAATCTATATATATCTATACATATACACTATATATATATATATATATATATATATATAGATCTTACAAGCATCGCGATCGAAATAAAATTATAAATATTTTTGCGATTTGATGAAAAAAATAACATTCTTTTGGTATAGATTACAGTCACATGATTTCTTCCTTTCTTCAAAACTAGTATGATCGTTCAGCGCTATTTTCTTTCAATTATATAACTTTATCAATTCAATGATATTCATTGGCAACTTTACGAAGACTAGTTTTATTGAAATTACAAATACTTCCTAGTAGAGCAGCTCGTTCGTTGGTCAACTTTGAGAGATTACTTGTCACATCAACAGGTGGTGGCATTTGTAATGGAGGTGGTGGTACAGTACTCTTAGCAGGAACTCCATCATCTTGCGGCACATCTACAGAACCTTTAGTTAAATAGATAGTAACTTTTTATAGCTCTTACATCACTTGGACACATACCATTACACTACATTTAATTTTTTGTCAATCATACTATTTTATCCAGATATACTACACCCAATACCAGTTATCAAAATTAATTATATAATCTACAATGCATAAATTTGGAAAGGAAATACATACATTTCATCACACAGATGTATCCAAGCAATAATTAAATGAAAAAAATGCATGAATGTGTAGAATTAGTGTTTGAATGATCATATATGACCTACGTGAGAGAAATAAGCGTAGTATGCGCCATCAACTTTTGTGCCCAGCTAACGTAAAAATCAGGAGGATCGATTAATGTTAATTGTTAATATTAATTGTTGAGAAAGTGATTTATACTTACGCAGCGATGGTGGTGTTAATGTTCCAACACTAGTCGCCGTAGAAGTACTTGTAGGACTATCCGAGCGCTCCGGGCTCTTGCCGTTTATGTGTTTCATTCCATTCGCGCTCAATTGATTTGCCGAACGTTGTTCTTGGGCCAATTTTTGTTCTTTCTTCTAGAGAAATAAATACATGAGTTTGTTTCAATTTGAAAGAACATTATGAGCTATTTAAATATGTGAGAAATTTACCAGTTTCTGTTTTCGTTTTTTCATCTCTTCTTCGGAGCTCATCATTTCTTGAACTTTGACAAGCCTCTTTTGATGTCTCGCCACTTTTTGTTCGTCTTTTAATCTTTGTTCTGCTTTATTCACTGCTTCCTGTAGGGCCTCCTTCAAATGACTACTTAATTTGAAATGTGGTCTTTCCATGGACCCAACAGCTAATGCAGCATGTTTTGTTGACTCAAAGAACGGATGTTCTAATAGGTGCGACACCGTTGGTAAATCCTGTTTTAGGGCTTCTGGTGAAAGTATCACCTCCAACAGACTTTTCAGGGTTGCTTCGCAGTAAGGTAATTCCGAACACGTTGCTTCTAACAGCGGTCGTCCAAATGCCATTTCGTACAAGACATGTCCAAACGAATAAATATCTACTTGAGTCTGTTGAAAAAAAGAATATATAAAAATTTATAATATTAATATACATATTTTTATATCTTCCAAAATATAGAGTACATATAATATTTACCGTAGCGTGAAGTTTACGTCTTTGTACAACATAAGGCCGATAGAACGCTGGTAAACCTAAGAGACCATTTTCTATATCCAACAATTTTGCACATTTCTGTGTTAAAAGAATATTTCCTGTATGTAAATGTCCATATGGTAAGCCTTTTTCATGAAGAAATCCTAAAGCTTCCAAAATCTAAAACAGAAAATACAAGATACATATATATTTAAATGTTATTTCATTATAGCAATATAAAGTATTAATTTTCTAACCTGGTAACCATACATAGCAATTTCAGGCACTGATAATGATTTAGTTTGTTTTGGATTTCCATATTTCTTTATGAATGGTTGTTTAGGTTTAGTAACGCACAAAATGTCACGTAATGTACCCATTGGATAAAAATTTCTTATCATTAAAGCTCCGTTTTCGGTTACATGTTGATAAACGATTGGTTCTATATAATTATGTCTCAATGTCCCTAAACTTTTGAAAACGCCTTGCATATCTTTATCTTGCAAGTGTTTGTCTGGACCAAATTCTACCCACGTGAGTAGCAACTCTTGCTTGGGATTTTGGCGATTTTTTACAGTGTAATAATGCTTTCTCAACCTCCATCCCATATCAGGAATGGCCTTACAAACTTCGAAATTTGCATCGCTACGTAAAGCTAGTGATACCTGTTGCAAAGCTATTTCTGAAAAATGGAAATTATTTATGAAATGTATTATATACAATAAATTCATCATTTACTAACATGCTGAAGTTAGTTTCATACTTTTAGATAGAATATTCTTTGTACCTGTTATTTACTTGTACATACGTATGACTTACTTTTAATTGCATCATTACATTCATTATAATAATTAAATCATACCATGTAACGGTGCTGTGTAATTATCCGGATCTAGAAATTTTTTCATGGGAAGCGACGATGCCAATATAGGATTCATTAGTATATTGTTTAGGTAATTCTGAAAGAAGTTGAAACAAAATTATAACAAACAGATATACTTAATAACAATCTTCCTATAATGTAACTAACCTGTAGGGCTATTTGACGTAGAGCTATGAAGTCTGGTTCCATATTACCAATAATTTTCTTTGGAGGAAAAGCCAGGTCAATACCTGATATTGATAGAGCTGCATTAAGCTGTACGAAGTCATTGTAGCGTCTGCTAACTCTCCAAGATTTCTCTGGAATTGGACCTCTTTGTGTTTTAATCACATACTCCTAAAATGTAACATAATCATGTATTTCATAAACGTATTACTCCATGCAGTAATAAATAAAAACCTATAAGCATATACATCTATATAAACAGACACATATATACATATGCAATGGTTTTTGAAAACAGATTATACATGTTATATAAAATGTTATATAAAATACTTTAAACTATAATAAAACATCATCATCATAATAGCGTTAATTCATGAAATTCCAAAGAGTTTCATATGATAATATATTTAATCTATGGCAAGTGTTTAAATATTTTCACGAGCCATTGCATATACATAACAAATAAAAAGTAATTCAAATTATACAAAGAGCATACAGAAATCATGATAAGTTAAGAAGTTTGTGATCTAATTTTGATGTTAATTTATAGATAAATTCTACAATGTTAAATATTTAAATTTTGCATATTAAATATTGTAAATTTTACTTTTACATGAAGGACAAGAATTATAATACATTGCGATTAGAATATCTTTGTCAAATTAATTCAACTTAAGAAAGAAAGAAAGTGGACACGATTGAAGAAATGTTTGATGCACGAATGTAAAAGAACCGTCGAGAATGCGTACGTGACGAACAATAGCGCCCGTCGTTGATTCAACACATGAGATCAGAGCAAACAGGCCGATGTGTATTATCTTCACCTTTTATCGAGCAAATGTCAAAATATACGCATTAAGCGTGCGCCGTACCGTGTGTCCGTCGATTGTTCTTGCATTTTCAATGATGCTCGTCAGCTTTTCTGTATCATCTAGCAGCACTTTATTCGTGTATCGCTTCTCAAACAAAGCCATTGATCATTAGTCCGACGTAGTGCAGGGCCCGTACGGGGCGAGCTGCTTGTGTCTATCGCATAGTTTTCGTAAGTCGCCATACATGACGCAATTCCGATTCATTTCAACATTAGTAAACGTGTTTTACACTTGCGAATTGTTCGACACCACCGAGAAAGACGCACCGTTGTCGATGTCCCCTTAACACTTTGATTAACAGGCAAAATTTATCGGACTTTCCTCTCCTCTCAGAAACTTAACACCCATCGTCTTTCACCATTTTATTATCCACAGTGCGATTCACAGTGATACCACGCGACCGGATGACCACCACAATGGACACAAAGTTTCTACGCCTTCTGCTTGCTCCTTTTCTTTTCCTTTGCATATTTCTGTCTGTCACTGAATGGATTTATTCTAGATGGAAAGAAACACGAAAGAATTCGATGAGATTTGAGTGACGACCAGAGAATGTTAAAACAGCGATTCGTCACGACTAAAACGACAATATCCAATTGGTCTGTTTGTAAGGTGAAACTTGGTTATATGACAGACAGTCAAACTATAATGAGTAATTGCAAAATTAATTGCAATTGTAAAGTTATATACTTTCGAGAGCTTGAAATTTATTTATTATTAGAATAAATGTTGAAACCAGAAATACACTATTTATAACAGAAAAAAGTGACTCTATTCACATTAAAAATGTACAAAAATAACGAAGAAGTTAAAGCATGAAGCGAAAACTTCATTCGACGTGCAACTGAGGTTCACTGTGTACAAATTTGATACACGCAGCACTCAAACTTTTAAATATTTACTATTAATCCTCTATTAATACTAATACTAATCACGATGAAACATTAAAATACGAGACAGAGCATAACATGTATCATACGAAGAGCTCATAATGTGATGTAAGTTACTTTTGATTAACAACAATGAGAAAATACTCTTTCTTTCTTAACAACCTCTTCAATCAACAGAGTCATTATAACATAATTATTAGAACGTAAATAAGTAAAATCTGTTAAAAGATATTATTAAAACGGCATTAGTATTTAAATTATCAGAAAATAAATGATAACTAAACTGTTCCATCGGTTGGAACATTAGCTCTAGCAAAAACAAAAAGATACCTGCACGATGCAAGCAGTTTTGAATAAGTCGCTTACGCTAATTAACTTTCGAGTCTTTGTTCGCGAATTACTCCACGTATTGTCATTCATTCGCGAAATAATTTCGCCTCGCGATGCGCCAAGGATCGGAAGACGTTTGAATCGTCGCGCGCCGGATATGTACGCGCGAACGCGAGTGTAGTACCTCGCCGAGTCGTCACAACTTCCGGCCGTCCATTTTTCCCCTGAACGTCGTCTGCCGTTGTAATCATTACACCGTGGTGATAGTACAACGAAGTGAAGTAGTGTCAGAAGTGACGAGTGTCGAGCCCGTTTTTTCGAAGTTCATCGAGAAGTGATAACCGTTTTCCTCGTAACGTCCGCCCGTAACAGGTAAACGAAACGTTCGTTGCGCAGCTCAGTCGGAACCTGGAGGCGAAAATACCCGCGGATAGCTTCGTTGGAAGCCCGTGATCGCGGAAAGAAAGAAGTCTCTCCTCGTTCTTGGAACTTCGTCTCGCGTCGTGCGGGAACACGGTGTGCGAGTACATTGACGATGGCACGATCGAGTCAATTTCCGTTGATCGGACACACGGGGCCCGATACGTTTCCATTCGCCTCTGGTTGACGTTTCTGTCCCTTCGTTCGCACGGAATAAACAGCCCCTGCAACCGCGTGATCCGAACGTTCGACGTCGGTGTTCTTCCTCTTCCTCCTCCTCTTTTTTTTTCTTTTCCTGTCTTTTCCTTTCCTTTTCTTTTCCATCGCCGTTTATTTTGAATCGCCGCTTGAAGCGTGTGTTAATCAGACAAACAAACTGTGGCCAAGGCGGGTGTTAATCGGACACGCCGCAAGGAAATCTGGAAAGGACGACGTGCGAGTCGATGAGAAGAAGGAAGCGGTGGAGGAGAAGAAAGAGGCAGAAATTTAGGATCATTGGAAGATATGGAGAACAACGACGAAGCGCGGACTGTTGCCGAACGTGCATCAACGTCGAAGGAGGAACCCTTGGAGGCGACTGCCGATGATGATTACGGCTGCGAGCATTACAAGCGAAAATCCAAGTTTGTGGTGAGTTCTCTCAGCCGCAATCGTTTCCCTACCGGCTCTACTCCATGTAGACATTTCGTATCGTGTTGTTTGCTAAAACAACAACACACTGATTAATGAAAAAAGTGAAGTTTTAAGAAAATGATCGTTACTGCCGTTAATTACTCTCTGTATGTTGTAGTATTTATACACTTTATTTATTTTTAGCAAACATTCGCGGCCTATTAATTAGATACATTGTTTAATAACGAACGAATTGTTCTTCTTTTCGTCATTAAAATATCTTCCTGGGATATCCAATAAAATTGCTATGAAGATTACACATTAAGATCAATTTCGACATGTTGCGACATTACGCCTGTTAAATAGCAATTCACCTGATATCTCAAAATGAGTTTAACAATCGTTTGAGCATGTCGCTGTTCCTAGCAAAACCTGCGGACATGTGCAATACATGTATACACGTGAGAGGCGCTTTGTTTTCGGTTTCGATCACGCAGATGTTCAGTGATCAGTTTGTGCGTTTCAACTATGTAACCAACATACTCCTGGAAAATGTTTTTAATTCTTACGATGTTCTCCTAGGGTTTCGCCTCCTGTCAAACCGTGTTCTGAACTTGTCATGATCAACCGACTTTGACCTAACTTAACTTTGATTTTGTCCTGTCTCGGATATCATTCCTACAAGTTCATCCATGTTTGTGAAAGCAATTTGATTCTCGACGACTTTAATGACAATGTGACAAGCACTAGTGGATTTCAATATATATCATTAATTCGCAGTATTTGATATATATAATTAAAATATAATTTTATATAATTTTAAAAATATAATTTTAATTAAAATAATTATATTTAATATAATTATAATTAAAATATAATTATATATATATCACGTAACGCAAGGTCATAAGTAACACAGTTGATAATTAATTACATACATTATAGTGTGTATATAATTTCGAATTATTCAGAGCAGGATCGAAATCATTCAAACGATGATCTCGAGTTTCTAAAGAAAGTTTGACAATTTATCGTATTTACAAACAGATTGACAATTTATCGTATTTACAATTGGTCGTTTTAACAAATCTTTGCTGGACTGGTAAACCGGATGTTCACTTTGGGAGAGGCCTGAAAAATAAAATTCGAGAAGCATCCAGAGAGAGAGAATAAAAAAGAAGAATCGAAAGGATTCGATGTACCGTTGTGACTACCCTTGAACTTGTTCCGGGTAATCGATAGTACAAACTCGTTTTCTAAAATAAACGACCCGCGTAGCAGCGTTGTCTCGTAATTAACGACTGACACCGAAATCGCTCTCGTACGCGAGGCTTTTTCTATCCGCCGTGTGTAAACACGAATGCGCGGTCCCCAACCGCATGTACGTGTATACACGCAGCAAACAAATCGATGAAGTGTTCCAGCCGTGTGTTGTGTAACGAGACGCCCTCTTTCACAGTGTTGCTTACCAATTGCCGCGATAAGTCAAATGTCGTGTGCTGCCGCTGCTGCTACCAGCTTCTCGTGCGCTGCCTCTGACGAAAGAAAACCGTAGTTAGCAATTTAGTCAGTATTATCTCTTTCTCCTTTTTATTTTCTCCCCCTTGAGATTCGTATTTTGAAACTCGAATTGTATCTGATCTCTTGATATTTTCGTTTTCTGCTTGTTTAAACGCGTTTGTCTAAACGCGCGAAGATAACGCGCTGATATTTTTGTTGCTTAAATATTGTCCAAGAGAGACATCATCGGTGAATAATCTAGATAATTTTGTTGCCGAGCAAACTGCTGTACCCTCTTTAGAGACGCGTATTTATTTTAATCAGTTTTTCTTTTTTTTTTTGTAATTAACATTTTTAGAGGCGATGGCAAAAAAAAAAATCAAATTAAACTTCTTGATGTACCAAGTTTCAATTTGATTGATCATTATGGAAATCTCGAGGAATTCTTTCTCGTTAAAATATCAAGTATCAGGTCTTCGTTGTTCGTATTTTATGGCCCTATTCGAGAGACACTTAAATTTAGCGTATTTCACGAAATTACAATCGTTTCGTTGTTCAAAATTAGCGTATTTCTACGATGTTTTTTTTTTTTTTTCGTGAAACAAGTTCATCGGTGAACTATCGAATTTTTCTAGAAACATGTTACAACACATCTGTAACACTGTAACACGTGTCCCGATAGCACATGGAGGATTAGAACGTACACCATGAGCGCCATCTAATAGGAACTAAGTAATCATGATGGAAATCGATTGCATGCTAGGCTCGAGCCGATCATCGTAATGATAAACTAAATCCTACCGCGATCGTCGAATCTTTATCGCCCAATCGTCATCTTGTTTCAACAGATAAAAAAAAAAGAGCTCAGAAAAAGGTGTTACGAAATTACACGGATAGAGAATTAAACGTGGAAGAAATTATACAAATAGGAAATTAGACGCAGAGGAAATCGTGCAAATAAAAAATTAGATGCAGAAGAAATTATACGTGCAAATAGAAAAAAAATCAATTGAGAAGAGATTAGGCCGAAAGCAATTAGACTCGAATGAAACGAAATTGAACCAAGATTAAAAATTCGCTTCGTTATTAGATGGAAAAGTTTGAAAAGTGAATCATCATCTCGTCAATGATGGAAAAATTTTGCTTGACAACGTTGAAACGTTTCTTTAACTGATTCGACGCGTAATTGATTGTCCCGATGTCGGTGACACCACGTGCAGCAGAATCCTACAGTGGGTGCACATGCGTTACCATGTCCTCCGCACGCTGATCTGCCTTCACCCGTGCGCTGTCGAATGGATTTGCCGAACGCTTATAAGCGCCTGCCGCATCGGAAGGGTTAGGGATCAAGGACGGATTCATATGGGGGCTAATTGGATTATTATCTAAGGCCTTCGTTTTCTGAACTGCTCAAGGATCGTCGAAGACACATTTTCGTTGCCTTTTGGAACGGAATATTTGAACCTAGCCCCTGTCCCATTCCTCTTCCTTCCCCCCTCACGTACTTCTAGTGAAACTTAATTCTTAACCTCTCGCGCTGGGACGACGTGCTACGCGCGTCGAAAATTTTTTGTCCCAAAGTTGCAATATTTTCTCAGTTTTTAAATATATTTAAGTATAATCTTATACACGAGCAAAACAAATAAATTTATTACTTCTCAATAATTTCTAATGTTCAGTGATATCGTACCGACGAATTATTGTATACGGTTTTTGGTCACTCGTTACGGTCCGCAGTCAGTTGCAGGCGCAAGTGGTCAAAACAAACAAAAAAGAAAGAAAGAAAACATGAAGCACAATTAAGAAAGATTTAACTCAGCGTTGAAATTGAATGCTATGTTTTAATAATTAACGTCTGTCGAATTATATAAATATATGTATCAGATTATTTAGAAAAGAATAAAACTATTCCCCCCTCTCCCAACACCTTGATGAAGAACTTGAAGAAAAACACGTCGCATTGAGAATTAAACTAATTTGTTTTTTTTTTTTTTTTCTTTTTTACAGACACCGTGTTGCAACAAGGTGTACACGTGCCGATTCTGTCACGACAAGGAGGAGACCCACACGGTAAACAGGAAAGAGGTGACGGAACTTATATGCGTGCTGTGCGATACGCGTCAACCCGTGCAAGCTACTTGCCAGAATTGTCATTGCCGGTTCGGCAAGTATACGTGTCTCGAATGCAACTTATTCGACGACGAGGACAAGAATCAGTATCACTGCGATGGCTGCGGGATATGCAGGGTCGGCGGTCGCGACCGATTTTTCCACTGTGCCAAGTGCAACATGTGTTTGCCAGTTCAGTTACAAAACGGGCACACGGTACGTAAACGCGTGATTAAATTTTTTGGTTGTAGTGAACGTCGAGTGACAGTCCTGTGACGACGAATTGCGACAGCGTCTTGGATAAACAGAAAAAAAAAAAAAAACGAATTTCTCTTTCTGCGAGGCAAAGACCTCATTTTTCATGAAAACGAAGTTCGAGTATGTTTTATTTGAAAATGTGTTTCACGGATTTTAGTAAACGTGTAAAAGTGATAAAGTCTTAAATTGAGTTCTCTCAAAAAACGAAGCGTTTTGTGAAAAAAAAAGTTCGTTATTTATTAATCTGCCTGAGCAGGCCCCAATACAGCTAATAAAATTTCAAATTTGATTTTCTTGAAAACGAGGAGTTCATTCTTTATTCTGTATTTTTATATCAGGACACCCCGTATAGAAAATTTTACATTTTATTCTAGTGGAATTACAGGTGCGAGAATATTTCAATTTAACTTCAGCTATTTAGATTTTAATTAAATTCTAATCTTATTAAATCTTTAATTAAATTCCTTAATATAAAGTAATTATATTACTAAGTGCGATTGTGTAAGGTAACTTTTTATTTGTTATTTTCAGTGTGTAGAAAATGTCTCTCACGCAAATTGTCCAGTTTGTCTGGAGGACATTCACACAAGTCGTATACCCTGTCACATTCCAAACTGTGGTCATCTGCTTCATCGCACTTGTTTCGAGGAATTGTTACACTCAGGACATTACGCGTGTCCAACTTGCCAAGTATCGCTCTTAGATATGACTGATTTATGGAGATTTTTGGATATGGAAGTATCTTCAACACCAATGCCAGAGGAGTACAGGGATTACAAGGTTGATATTCTGTGCAAAGACTGTCACGAGGTAAAGATATAATATGATATTGCTCCGTTATGCTTTACTTGATCAATAGACAATAATAAATTGTAACCTAAACCTTTCAGGAGTCGACGGTAAAATTCCATATTGTAGGTTTGAAATGTCTGAATTGTGGAAGTTATAACACATGCAGAGTCAAAGGATCCCCTTCTCCAGGTAAATATTGCCTAATGAAGTACTTTTTCACTTTTCTCCCTCTTTGGCGATTTCGAATTTTATAAATTAATCCCCATGTGTCTTAAACCTTTTAGCAGATCCAGACACGTTGGATTAAACAGCATAAAATTACGTTGGCGATGAAGAGAATTCGCGACGCTCTAGAACTTTAGAGTATTAAAACGGGAAGAAATGCGAAACATTCACGAGAAAGTGTTACTCTTGGACGTTTCGGGCAAAAAAGAGACATTAGAAAATGGCCTCGTCGGCGTTATACCTCTTTACTTGTTTTTAGTGAATTTATACATCTTTGTTGATTGTTTTTAGACGTTTTTTATAGACGTTATTTTATTAGGAGGCTGAACGTAGCGACTGATCTAATCAGCAGTGTTTATATCTGTAATCATGGAAACTACTGAATTATTGAATAGTCGTAACTTGAATTAATTCGAATCATTTAGAGCGAATAGTTTATTCCTTTTTTCTTTTTTCTTCTTCGAAAATACAAATGTCACTTAACGATAGCGATTCTAAATCATTCGATTTGTCTTAGTAGTTACTGTTATTTCCTTACTCATTGGAGGCGCGGTATACACGGTGTCCCCGTTTCCTAAAAATTCTTCTCGCGCTGTTCCCAAGTATATCCTTAAACATTTCGTAAGGCGTGACTTTCTTTCGATGCAATCTTTTCGTAAATGCTAAATCAATATGCCGGTAGTACTAGTCAAAGAAAGAAAAAAAAAAAATATCTCCCCCTCTTTTAGCTATTGTTATAATCGACAGCTAAGAATTCCTCTGTATTATCTCTACTACACATAGTTCCCCGATGTTATATTACGCAATTATATCTAGAGATAGAAATCAATGAGATTATTACTAATAAGACACATTTTATTTCTTAATCAATTATTGTACGCGCAATTTTCGAAAAGATCGCCATCTAGTCAAAGATTTCTTGAGTCACTTCTTGATACGATCGTTCTGTAAAAAAAAAAAAAAAAGCAGAATGCGCGGGGGAATCTCAGATAGTTGGATGACCGTAAGCTGATACCTGACACGATAATTGTTCTGTTTTTGAAATTTCACGAAACATATTCGTACAGGTAAGCCTTGGAAATGATCCACGAAGATTCGAGGCTTCGACATTCATCTATCGAATTTTATCGGGCATTACCACCGTGTTATTGTGAACTTAAAAAAAAAAAGAAAAAAAAAACCATAATTATATACTTTGTATGTATGCTTAGGTGTCTTTTAGTGCACGTGTTTGCAAACGCAAACTTCTTTTTTTTTTTTTTTTTACGTCAATACGATGTATATCACAGACTCGCAAACTTTATTAATAATATTTAGTATAATTCGTACACAACTAGATATTGCATATTTATCGTAGTAAAAAGATTAACACTTTGATTCTTCTTCTTAAAAGAAAAAAAAAAGAAAGAAAGAAAGAAAAACGTGCATAAGATTGACGACAAATTTCAAACAAAGTTAACGACGTATCTCATTGATTTTATACAAACTAGTTGGTAATTCGCAATATTTTTTATCATCTTATTTTGCAAAGGGAATCTACGGTATTAATTACATTCCGACTGCTATACTTTTGAAAAAATATATCTAGCGAATATAAACTAAAAACAGTATTTTCCTTTGAAATTTGAATAACCAGTTGAATAGTTAAGGAAATGCGCATACTTTATTCAATTTTTAGCGTTAAAAATAAGTGAAGAAAGTGTCAGACCATAAAAAGAATGTACAATTAGTAACGAGGGTTATATCATAGAAAGAAAAGAAAAAAAAAAAAAAAATGATGTAATTTCGTATTTAATACTGTAATGTAGTCTTATTAACTTGCCGTGAAAGTTCTACGAAGAACTCTGAATTCTGTTGGAACGTGTAAAAAAAACGCGTGTATCAAAAGGCATTAGAATTACGTTCGACGATTACAGTTATCGTTAATGAACATTGTCATATCGTGTCCAGATTGAATGTACTACTGGGTAATCTTGTACTGTTTGCGTTTAGATGCAACTGTAACTGTGTAATTCGACCTCCTGGTGTGAGATAAAGCGCGCGTCACTTCGTGCAGCGAAGTCTGAGAAGATATCCTTAGGGTATCCAAAGCTCAAGTGAAAGCAAAGAAAAGTTGAGTTGGTTAGGCAACGCTCGATATAATGTATCTCACCACGAACGTGAGGACGCTTTTATTGGTCATGGAGCAACTTTTTTTTTTAATCTGTTTGCCGAGCAATACACAGGCTGATCATCGTATAAGCACTTGCATCTCTTCTATCCATTCCATGTTTTTATAAAATAGCACGGTGATGTACGCCGAGAATTTAATTGAAGTACGCTGTTACTAATAATATTAACGAGCAATCTTAGCATGATGTTTCATTTCGTTTGTTTAAAAAAAAAAAGAAAAACCGTAAAAGTGGATAGTCGTGGCGTGATTAAGGCGAAAAGTCGTCAGAAAAATCCTCTTTATGGTTCGTAGGTTTCGAATAGCATCCGTCGTGCCGTTTTAAAGAGAGGAAACATTTTACCAACAGTTTATTTTTTGGTGTGATTATTATCACGTCTTTATTATTCAGTTGTAAATTAAATATGAATTACAAAGGCTCTTTGTACATAACGGCCGCAATAATGCTTTTGTTTTATATTATATAATATATACTATTGTATCAAATAAACCGACTATTATTTTATTCTTCTATTTCTTTTTTTGTTTTTTATTATTATTTTTTTTTGTACGAGCGTGATAAGAGGTCGCTACTTATGCGTCAGAAGTTCTTCAACTATCTTCAAAACAAAACTAATGCAATATCATGATTTACGCGAGAGTTTCTTCTTCACGTGAACATTGCTACGCCTCTAATGTTCTTAAAAAAAAAAAAAAAAAAAATTGTATATCAATGTATGTTTGCGATTTGTACGTATTTTACCAGGAAATGAGTAACGTTTACAAAAGTAAAGAATCACTGTCAAAAGATCAAGACTTTTCCTTCTTGCGTTCGTATTCAATTGTAAACCACCCTTCAATTGTAAACCATCATAGTAGCAACTTTCTATCACCCACCAAAAAAAAAAAGGCAGAAGTGTCTTTTGCTTTGCTTCTTTTGTTTTCCGCGTTTGAGAATGAACTACAAACGGAGATATGTCGTGATAAGCCGTGACGTTTTCTCTCCTTTCGAGATGCAGCTACGAGAATACATCACGGTTTTCTTCGTTAAAAAAAGAAAAACAATAAATTCTGCTGTTTGTATAATACAGACGCTATGCATCGGAATACCCCGGAATATTAAAATTCGCAAATATTCCAATGTACAACGCATTCAGCTTGTAAAAAATTGCCTAATAGATTTATTTCTCTTCCTCGCCGTGTTTTTCTCTTTCTTTTTTCTTTTTTATCTCACCCTCGGTAGATTTTCGATAGAAAAGAAAGGCCATATTCCTTAAACGGAATTACGACTAGTTTAATCCCATCCTTTTGTTTTTTCTTTTTTTTTTTTTTTAATTACGAAACGCGATCGTGGCTAGTTCAGGCTTTTAAAAATTCAGAGAACGAGGACGTAAGGGCAGGTATCCATGGTTGCTGAGGAATCGGCGTGCGGCTCGCGTCATTTCTAGCTGATCGCGCGTACGTCCACAGGCCACTGTTGTCCATTGTGCCTCCAGCTGTAGCTGCGATCAAAACAAATCGAGAATGAAAATCAAATTATAGCCCTTTGAATATGATATCAATAACTAATGACGTACAGTAGGGAGCATAACTGAACACATACATGAACGATGAAAGCGCAAAGCTTCTACTTCGGCTGTCCTAAGTTTGCTTTTCTCAAGGATATTTTTACGTGATATAGTGGGTGAGAAAAAAATTGTAAAAATATTGAAAATTTTTTTTTTTCGTAAATTGGCTCACCATCTCTTAAAATTTACTGTACAATTTTTTTTTTTTTTTGCAATTTATCCAACCTTAAACGTTAAGGTTAGGGTTTTTTGAACTGAAGTTATCCAATACTGAAAGTCTACAATGAAATCCGATCTATGACGACAGGTGTCTCTCGGCATTGAAAATAGTGTGTCGCGATTTGACGAGCGAATATCGAATCTCTGACACGGAGGTCTCGAGACGGTAACGATGAACCAATTTTGAAATCGAGAAAAGAAAAAACCAAATCACTCACCTTGGCGCGTTTGGCTGGCCTGAGCGGCAAGGGGCTGAGAATACAACAGGGACTGTCGAACGCATCGAACGTGATTGCCCTCTTGGCGTTAGGCTTCCGTTGTACGGACGCAAAGTCGTGGGAATTCTAGAAAGGATAGACACACTAGCTACAGCCGGCGGTTAAGAGAACGCACTTACAGAAAATATCTGTTTGTTTGAAGATTATCTTCTATTTTTTTCTTTCTCTTTCTTTTTTTTTTATCTTTCTTCAGAAAAAGACAATTTAACTGACAAGATCAACAAAAAAAAATTTTCAACTGCTGTGAATTTCAAAAAAGTCTTCGAGAGAAGACGAATTCCCAAAGAGACTTGCGAAAAAAGAGAAAGATGAGGGAACAGAGACGAAAGAAGAGAAAGACGGAGAGAAGGACGTAGTTAGAAAGAAACAGAAAGGTTACAGGAGCTCTCTCTCTCTCTCTATATATATACATATATTCGAAAAAAAACATAGTCAGCACGTGGTGCATTTTACACGTTCATGTTTTGCTCCCTGTGGCACGTTTTACGTTCATGCTAGGAGTGTTAACCACCATGTTTCATCGTATAATGACTAGGGTTTTTTGTATTTTGCTTAATTGTTTTTTTTTTTTTCTTTCTTTCGCACGGTTACGAATCGGTATCGAAGAGAGGAGCATGTGTTCACGACTAGTAGGGCCGCCGCTCGAAAAATTATTCTTTGGACTTTGTCAACAGGACACAGAGGATGAGATAAAAAAAGGACGAGGAAGATACTTTGGTACGCTAGGCCAGGCCTGCATAGGGGCGTTTCACGTTTGAGTTAGTTATAAAACATGCAACGTAACTCAACGTTATATTACCAAAGGAATAAAAAAAAATATATATATATGTATATATATTAATATGATAATAAATAAATGTTATCTTTTACTTTTTAATATGTACATGTATCTATGTATATATTATATATAATTACGCAGGTATACTCGTCGAACTAAGAAGGAATATACAAATCTAAAACGTAATTATATTAACATGTTTCCATGTTGCGGGTCACCGACCGGGTGACCCATTTCTTATTAAAATGACTAGGGAAACGAAACTGAAACTGCAAACATTTCGATGTGATCGATGGCATTTTAGTAAATAAATATTAAACAACTGTAGCATTTAGATACTAATACATATTAGATACTAATCTGTACCTACAGATTTACATAGGACACGTTTTGACCTGTCGTGTACAGGATACGTTCTTATAATAATTTAGTCATTCGAACGTTAGAAAGTACTAATAGCTTTTAAAAAAAAGACTATTTCTCTCTTTTTCTCTTTTCTCTACAATAATAAATAATAAATTAAGTTACTGATTAAATGTTCCCAGTTTACTTCGCTTCCAAAGTACCAAATGTACATGAACAATTTACAATTTACACGAACAAACATCAACAAAACGAAGTAAGGAAAAATAATGAAGCGAGTCTAGCCCATAATTAAAAAAAAAATAAAAATAAAAATTATCCGTAAAATTAATCGTAAAAGAAAAATGAAGCAAACAAAAACGAAACAAGATTGGCCGTACACATCGATGTATATATCGTTATTTGTAACTTGTAAGAGTACGAACATTTTTGTGCAATGTAGAGTACGTACAGTGAGCAACGAAAGGTTCGAACGACACGATAGAAAATAATTGATCACACAAAAATTGTATAATAAATTGCAATTTATTGAAAAACAAATTGTTTTTATGCTATTGTCTATGCATTTGCCAAATATATGCAAAGTCAGTCAATATTATAGAAAATCGTTTTCGAGTGGTTATTAAAGCCAAGAGTGGCCCAACTAGATATTAAAATGCAATATAATCACATACATTGCATTGTATGACTATTAAAATTGCGTTTGAATACTTTTGTTACGCCTTATGTGTACTTATTCGTGAAAAAATTTTGTGTAATTTGTTTACTTGTTGTTTAATTTTTCTCTAACTTTGCATATATTTAGCAAATGTATATACAATAGTATAAAAACAATTTGTTTCAATAAATTGCAATTTATTGTACAATTTTTGTATAATCAGTTATTTTCTATCATGCCGTTCGAATACTTTCGTTGCTCACTGTGTATTACAGCAATGAACATTGGCAAAAAAAAAAAAAAGGTATTACATCAAACGTAAAAGTGTAACTTAAGTACTTTGTCATATTGGCTCCTTTCAAACAATTAATTTCTTAATCCATGATCATAAATTTCGTTTCAAGTACATAACATTACGACATACACATAAATAATAATTCAACAGAGAAAGGATAAAAAAAAAAAGTTAATCTTAAAAATAAATCAAACCCGTGTTTTATGTCGTTATTAATTAATGTTAGTTATGTTACTTTTTAATTACAATACTCGTAACTTAAAACCAAAAACAAGAATGCTAATAATCTTTGGATTGGACGATACCAGGCAGAACAGAGCCGATAATCGTGACCGGATTACGAAGAATAAATACACAAGGTTAATTCCTCGCGCGCCTTGGCTTTGTAACATTTAGTTATAAAAGAAAGAAAGAACAAAGAGAAAGATAGAAGAAGGATGAGGCGTGTTTTTAACATTAATCAGTAGGCAAGCATGACTAATTAAAATATAGTAAAGGAAAGGAGAACATAAAGTGTTAAAATAAGAAAGTTAAAAAAAGGCCGGCTAGCGTGTCTAAAGGCGATTGGTACGGGAATAATACCAGGAAAGGGCAGGCTGAGTTTGAATCTGTGATTGAGTATGGACATGGTTCTCTACCTTTACGGGACTAGTCCCTGCTAAAAAACTATCCTCCAATGCCATAGATGCCGGTGAAAACAATACCGATGTGTCCAAACTTTTACTCTGTAATATAAAAAGAATCAGTCGACTAAAGAACAATTTTATATAGTAATGCTTAGGCAATGCTTAGGCAAATTTTTATGCATTTGAATGTGTAGAAATGCACAGAATGTATACGATATGCTAAAGCGTATAAAATACTCATTATAATGTTTAACAGGTAGAACAATTTTCCACTCAAACCCCATTTGTCAAATTAGATTCACAAAAATACGAATTCTACATAAATAAATATTACACGTTGAGTATAGGTGGTTCAACTTACCGGTGTTTCTACAACGAAACTCATTTCGGAATTATCCTGAGAAGCCCATGCTTGGCAAAGGGCTTTGCGCGCTCTTTTCCCGCCGGGAGCGCTATTTTCTTTACCCCGCCGTCTGATCGTGCTGTAACCAGAGTCCTGAAGGATAGCGCTGGTTCCTGCTAAACCTTCACGATCGGTTTCCTGTTTAATAATTTCGGTCAGAGCGTCCAGACGACTCGGAGTGGCAGGTAACTGAGTAGTCGCGCCACTGCGCCGTTCTAATTCTGCTAACGCATTCTTGAACGGTGTTGGCGTCCTCGGCGTATTGCCATCTGCAACACAAAATGTAATGATAATAACGACACACAGAATTACTATATTAAAGTGTAGAAACTTCAGACATGAAGAAACAACAAGCAAAGAGATTTGTATTAAGAACTTTACCATTCTGATTTCGTCGAAGACCAGTAGGTTGTGGTGTGGTGAGTGGCCCGGGACTGCTACCTTTAGGAGTACTCGCCCGTGGCCAGGAGGAGGTCTCAGGACTCAGACTATTCAAGAACTGTGACGGACTGAATGGCAGTTGTTTGATAGGCGTGGATGGACTGGTGACACCAGACGGCTGTTGAGTTATTATCAAATACTCGGACTGGTTTATACTCTCAGATGTTTCCGCTCTCTGTAAAAGTATTTGAGCATTTCGACGTCGACGTAGAATAGGGGGCGGGCTGCTTCTTTCCTTCTCGGCGGCTTCCGACATCTCTTCCAAATCTGGCATTGGCATCAGTCTGATCTCTGAACTCTTTGAACTGGTCGCCTCACTTTGTATTTGCATATCAAAATATCTATAAAAATGCATGTGTTAAATATCCCTTTAAAAAACGCTCTGTGAAAACTTTCTGAATTTTTTTTCTAGTTTGTGACGTACTTTGTGAAAGGCGAAATTTGTTCAGTCTTGACTCTGGAAGAGGAACTTCCTCTTTTTGAGGGTTCATTGTTGTGCGACCGTTCGTTCAAATTCAAAAGACTTTGGAAACTTTGGGTGCCCTGCTGATTATCCCAAGCCCTGGACCAATCCATGTGGTCAACACTCAGAATATTCTGCTGTACAGTAGACAAAGCCGCGGCATTTTCATTGCTCGTCGAATTTATCTTCAAACGGCCGTGACCATCTTCCTCTAGACACAGATTGTTATCTTTAGAGGGCAACGACGATTCCGCGGCTTTTCTCCTACCTCTTCCTATAAAGAAAAAAAAAAAAACTCAAATTCATTAAATGTAATTTCATAAGAGGACACATATATCGATGAGCTAAATCAAAATATATTTTTCTTATTACTAAATTGTCTCATATTTTTGTTGAACTTTATACAGGATAAAAATGTCTGTCTAGCTTGATTGTAAAATACGAAAAATAAAATAAAAATATTTGAACAGGAAAATATCATAAAAATTATGTGAGAAATATCTGCCTAGTCTAACAATTGAGAAATTAATGGATTGATACGAACCTCTTGTGCTAGTGGATCTACCCTCTTCAGTTTCATATTTCCTCCTCATAGTACTGTTCCAATGATTTTTTATGGCATTGTCTGTCCTTCCCGGTAATAACTTTGCTATTTTTGCCCATTGGTTGCCCACCCTGCGGTGAGCTTCCACGATTATTCTATCCTCCGCCTCCGTCCATGCTGTTTTCTTGATACCCGGATTCAAATGGTTGTGCCATCTTTCCCGGCATTGTTTACCTATACGGCCCTTTAGATGTCGTGCAATTAACGTCCACTTCTTCGGTCCGTACCGTTCAACTAATTCTACTACTTTTTCGTCCTCCTGCGAAGATCATTGATCATCAATATATAAAATAGCCCCAGAACTTACACAATTGATTATATGTAGAATATTTAAATTTGTACGCATTTTGTACATTGATCTGTTCAACAATCTCTTCAACAGATTACTTGAATATTTATTTCTATAATTTCAGTGAACTTTTTCCATTTTTTTTTTTTTTATAGATAATATCGATGAAGTTTAAATTTTGTACATGACCTGTCATTCTAACGTCCGACTATCCAATTGCATTTTCTCGTATTATTGTAATCGTAACCTCAGAAGAATTTAATAATTCAAATAATAAATAAATATTGACGTCCACCATAAGTCTAGCATCGTGTAACAGCAATATTTGAAAGCTAGATATAGCTGGAAATATCTGAGTAAGTCTCAGTAAAAATAATTCCTTTTATGCATGTGAATGAATCAGATTGGAGGGACGTGTCGTGGTTCTAAAAGACGTCGGGAAGTAAACTTCGAAAGAGACTGAACGAAGATTTCCAACTATCGATTTGAAGACGTCTCGGCCAAGGATTGTTGACTTTTCATTAGATGCAACATATCCCTGTGTTCGCCCGAGAAGCAGCCGAAAGGCCACGCTTGATCGGGCAAGTTCTCACCGAGAGGTAGGCGAGTACCCAACACGCGAGTAATTCCTCGGAAGGGACGGTAGAAGGCCGAAGAATGGGACGAGAGAACAAGGCGGTGGGTCGACAGAAAACGGCGGGAAGGAAAGGATAGCAGGACACACGCGGAGATGATCCTCGAGTGCACTGCGAGGGGAAAAAAAAAGGCAAGAGAGAACAAGGAAGAGAAAAGGAGACAGCGTAAGAAGAAAAAAAAAGGTACAGCGAGGACACTCTCACACTATGAAGAATCAGATGCACACCAACAGTGGCCGCTCTCCGTGAGGGCCAATGTAGACTGTTCAGAGGCTTTACTTGCCCTTGGCTGTTGCCAAGTGCATTGGCACGAACGACGCAGCATCTCCACGAACCTCTACTGGCTCTTTTTCTTGTTGCATACCCCACCGTGGCGACCGTCGACAGACAGAGAGAGAGAGAGAGAGAGAGAGAGAGAAAGAGAGGAGAGCCCTGCCTCTGTTACGTGTAGGCGTAGTACGTGCTGTACAGGGCCGTGCCGTTATGAGTTCGAACCTTTGAGCTTTCGACGCAGCCGAGGGGATCATCTTGATCCCTAGTGCCTAAGGAGCAAGGACTTTGACAGATTTCTGAACGAGAATCGGACTTCGCGGTTTCGTCGAATGTGATTAAATGGATTGATTCAAGATCTTATTATTGATGGTAGTAACGTAATGTGGTTCGCCGCGTGGGTCCCCACAGTGACATCTGGTCGCCAATAGAGGAAACAACTTGGTGTGTTTGTATACTGGATTAATAAAGGAATTTCTGGATGTAGGACTTGTTTTCTCGGGACTGTGACCGAGACAAACGTTGAATTTGAACTGAGGCATTCAGTCAAATAAGATGTTAACTTATTGGATGAAGCAGGATGAAAAGTTTCTTTGATCTAGGAGAAGAAGAACCGTTATAGATCCTTTTATTCAAACGTTTCTTCTAATACGTTTGAAATACGTAGCTGTAATAAATGATCTAATAGTTTGAACTGGGTTGGACACGTTCGATGAAAATCAGACTGATTAATTTAGTCTTTCAATTACAGCTTACAACGCAAGGTAAAACACTCAGTAGTAAAACTATTCCAATATTACTATTCCAATAAAGCACGTTTTCCAATATTTCATTGATTTTTGCTTACTAATGGTGTCCATAACCTGCGTTAGTAAGTTAATAATATAATATCTTAGTAAGTTAAAACATAATATTTTTTTTAATTTCTAGAATCTCAAATATTGAACTGAAGTCCTTAGTATTTAGGTAACTGAATCGTGAATTCTACACTAGGATTTATGTACAGATAAAAATCGGAGATTTTTCAGCGTTTACTTAAGACAATGCAGGATAAAAATTTGTAAATCTATCTCTTTACAAAAGAGCAGTGAATAAGAATTTGGTTTCATTGATTTACCTCTTTCGTCCATGGTCCTTTGACCAATTCCGGATTCACGACCTTTGCCCATCTCTGCTGGCACTGAACGTCACTTCTGTCTGGGAAATGGCTGGCTATAGCGTCCCATCGAAGTCCGGTCCCAAGTTGTTCAGCGTTGCTTACTAACTGCTTCAACAAAGCGTCCTGAAACCCCATTCAAACGGAAACACACGATTTACATACAGACAGACAGGGAAAATATGATGCAGAAATAAGGTGATCGCTTAGAGCTCTACACAACAGCAATCCAAGATACTTTGATAAGCGTTACCTCGTTTCAAAGAAACAGGAAAAACAGGAGAAGCTCATTGACGATTAATCGACGAGACTATATGTTTGTATTAATAATTCGTCGCCTGCAATAAGTACGTATCTGACTTGAACATTTGAGAAAAATTAAGGGTGGAAACGTAATTTTAGAATTTTTCTTTGTTAAAAATTTTTTTTAACTTTCTTGCAAGTCTACTTGTCACATATTTTTCATGTAGAAAAAAACGTAAGCCAGAAGTGAAAAGAGAAAAACATTTTCTATTGCTATCTAACATTTATTTTCACAACACATGGACGAAGTTATAATTGAAAGAGCTTTACGTAGAAGTGGCTTTATCGAATCAAGTATTCCACTTTATCCCGTGTAAATCTAGAAACAAGACGCGCTAAGATATCCTAAATTTTAAAATGAGTAACATGGAATGTTCACTTCGCAATTACATTGGATTAGAAAAGAAGAAAACAAGAGAGGAAGAGAGAGAGAGAAAGAGAATGGAAAAAGGTCATGTAACAAATGCACGAGATCGATAGATCTGCGTGATGTTTCCCACGGGAAACCATACGGCGTTCCCCATGCTCAATAGCCACCGCGTATATTACTATGGGGTGGTCGAGGGGCATCTGCCCGCGGACGTAACTCGTTGTAGAAGGTACGAAGGGTGGGCCTCTTTTCGAGTTTCATTGTATCCCTCCCCTTTCGCGTTACATCCGATTAAAGTCACAGTATGATGACGCGATCACGTGTGCATTTTCTCAACTATTGAACGGCGTGTTCCAGAGGAAGGAAAGATGATCTAGAATTTTCGAACATTATTCTTACTTGATGGCCAATGAAGTCCGGCAACTTTGGCAATGTTCAATTCTTGCAGACAGTTTTATAAAATTTCGGTATTACACGTGTAAAAATCTCGGACTCGAACAAACGAGTCAAACTGTTGTGTTGACCGATATCGTTTACCTCCTCTTTGGTCCACCTTCCTTTGTTTATGTGTTTTCCCTGCCCGGGATTACTTGCGTTCGCCGTGGCCGGATTCTGAGAGTGATTGTTGGCTCCATGACAGGCAATGGCATTGTACTCATTGTCAGATTCTCCGCCGCTACTAGAATCGTATCCAGATCGCGACCTAAAAAAAAAGTATAAAGGGAACATTGTCCATCAGTCACTTTACTGGAAGCTACGAACGTGAGATTCGCGGTTGAGTATAGTATTGATTGAGCTATGGCGTTTTACACTTTAAGAAAAATAATATAACCCAGAATGATAAAATTCCAATTGATTAAAAGTGGTGACAATACGTTGCAGGCAAATTTTGCTTGAGACGAGACAATTTATTTTCAATCGATCGTTTTTTTACAAAACTATTTGAGAATTGACAATTACATTACAAATGATGCACAGCATTTTTATTAATTTTCTTCGACAAAAATTCTCACGCTGACGCCGCGCAAAATCTCTTCTTTTGTGGTGCAGTTCAATCCGAAGAGATGAAAAAAATCGCAAGAAGATCGAACGTGCGAACGTGTAACGGATATAGCCATTTTTTTTCTTTTTTTTTTTTTTTTGGTCGGTTTAGAGGCAAAGACGGGAAATCACGGATGGCTGACCATCCATCCTGCGCGCGTTTCTTCCTCTTCTTTGTCAAAGGAACTATCGCGTACTCGCCACCCCTTTGTTCTTCACCCTTGCCCAAAACCGCCGACCAAGAGGCAATCTTGACCACAGTCTGGCCAGTGTCAGTTTTTGCGGTTGCAAAATGGTTTGTTCTTTCATCATCTTCGAGGATTTCCTGTCTATTTCCTCCACAAATGATCGTCATTCATTCTCACCCCTTCTCCTCTTTTTATTACTATTCCCGAATTTTTTTTCTTTTATGGTAGACTTCTTGGTAATCTTTAATAAAAAATAAAAAAATAAAAAAAAAGGAATTTTCCACTCGGTTACTTAATTTTATTCTATTTTGTTCTCTTATTGTTTATCCTGTACTATTTATTATATACTAGTAACTTATACTGTACTATTTTTCTTATTATTTATCCTATTTACTATATATCAGTAACTTATACTGTACAATTTTTCTTATTATTTATCCTGTACTATTTATTATACACTAGTAACTTATACTATACTATTTGTCTTATTTATCCTGTACTATTTATTATATATTAGTAACTTATACTGTACTATTTATCCTGTACTAATTTGCATAAATATTTTTTGCGCTTTTAGATATTTTCCACGATTAAGAGGTCGATGCCAAGGTGAATGTAAATTATCGATGGCGGAGTATCGGACAAGGTATCATCTCTAATAACTCGTCGACCAAAACTTCTAATTTTCAACTTTGGACTTCTCTTCAAAAAAAAAATCATTAAGATAAAAATTTCATCTCGAATATTTTTTTAACACCTTGATAATTTTCATTTTGTTCGTTTAATTCTTCGTTTAACTTTTTCAGAGAGCACAAATACCAGAAAGAGAGCAAAAGTAAAGAGGTGTCACATTCGCGACAAAATTCCTATTCAAGTGTAATTAGCCAACACAGTTCGCTGCGCGTTATACTAACGTATCTATTTACATTCCACCTACTGTAGAAGCCTATGTTTGTAGGGTGACGTAATTTGAGGACGATAACTGGTCAGTTCGAGATGAAGTACACACACGTACTCTATATATTATACGTAAGGTTGCGCTTGTATACTCCTCCACATAGAGAAATCAAACGCAACGGTCCGAACACGCTTGTTACGTTTACTGTTTCAGGCAGGCCACGACCGCGTTTCCGCTGATAATATCGTGTCAGCCTTTGCCAAACGGCGTTCATTTAACCCCATCATTCCATTGGAGCACGATGCAAAGACGCCGCTGCACCGAAAGTTCATTATACCATACCGAATTGTTGGACATTGTCTCGGGCACAATTATTTTGAAGCAGTTTTATGCAGAAAATAAAGTAATACAGTAATACATAATATATATACGTATATATATATAACACAATACATTCAAACAGAACGACACTGCCATGTATGAGTAAAAATTTGGAATCACCAAATTTTGTGTGTTTTGAAGGAGTTGAGAATTTTCCGAAAGAAAGTTTAAACTACGAACCACTACAGTTTGAGAGATTGGTTATTTACATATATGAAATTATAATATATTAAAATGGAAAGTCGTAAGTAATATAATAAATTAATAATTACAGCTGTTTTCAATCTTTAGTTTAACATTAATTATACATGATGAATTCAGTCTATGTTCTTGAAAACATAGTCTCTATCATTCGTTGGTAGTAGTACTAAAACATCATTTTGTAATATTTTATAATATTTTAAATAATAATATTTATATTATAATATTTATACTTATAATATTTATATTTATAATATTTGTATTATAATATGTGTATTATAATATTTATATTTATATAATATCTATATTTATAATATTTATAATATCTTATAATACTTATATTTATAATATTTATAATATTTATAATATCTTATAATATTTATATTTATATAATATCTATATTTATATTTATAATATCTTATAATACTTATATTTATAATATTTATAATATTTATAATATCTTATAATATTTATATTTATATAATATCTATATTTATATTTATAATATCTTATAATACTTATATTTATAATATTTATAATATTTATAATATCTTATAATATTTATATTTATATAATATCTATATTTATAATATTTATAATATCTTATAATACTAGACGAGTCAGAAACCACCAATCGAAATTAATTAATAAACTGGTAATTCAACTTTTTCTCTCATGATACTGACAGCATCGAATTTCCAGATTAGACAAGAAATTGAATTACAATGTACCAAACTCGATAATTGATATTTGGATACAACGACGAAAAAAAATTACTCTCTACTACAGCGATACGTTAAAAAAACAGGAGATTCCAACGCCGGAAATTGCCGGTTACTCTTGAATCCTTAAGTAGCCAATTTCGATTGATTCCTCCAGATCTCTACTGGTAATTTTTACTACTGTCCCTTTCTTTTTAGTGTCGTTTATCACTTGCTGTTCATTTCGCTCTTATTTGTTAATAATCTTTCGGTTTCAGTCAGTCATTAAAAATCAACACAGCATCGGAGGTGGCTAACTTCTGTATCCTCAGGGGCGGAAAATAATGACAACGATAAGGTACACCAGCCATCTGTGTTTCGCATATGTTTGTATGTCGCGTATACTTGCGGCATCCTACATGCGATATCGTTCCATAACCTCCCATTATACTTCATTGCCAGATACATATATGTATGTATGGTACGTATACGTGCATGCATCACAGAGCCACTTTCCTCTCTCGGTACACGCAGCTGCTTGATGGCAAGAGAGAGAAAGAGAGAGAGAGAGAAAGGGGGGCGAGTACTAGGATAAAAAAAAAGAACCCTTAGAAGCGTAAAAAGACAGAGAGTTATATTTATACTTTTTGAAAAAATTGGAAATTCAGTAATAACGCGACAATGGTCTTCAACGAGTTGAATGATCTCATGACTCTCTTTCTCCTCTTGCCATCCATGAAATCCGACTAACAAAATCCTTTATAGATAAAAGTTCTTTTCATTTCTAACAAACGAAATTTCATCTTTTTTTTCTTCGGTAGTCATGAATAACCAGTATCATGGAACACACACGCACACACACACGCATAGTTACACACATACTACAGCGAATGCGTGTTTTCATCTTTGCAGCTGTTTTTACACCGGCGAGAGAAACTAGTGTAAAACGCAAACTGATACACACCCTGTAATTGAGCTTTTAATTGGCAGAGTCTAGCAATGCAATCTTCTTCGCTGCCCGAATACACTGAACTTTTCCTGCAGGTGCACGTATGTTTACGTTCCCGGCCGTGGACAAGTCGGGAATACGTTATGAATCGTTCTCAGTCGCGAGGGAATGCCAGGAATCGAAAGGGGAGTGCCGTTCAGGTGAAATGTTTTCTGCATACAGGACATATCGCTGGGGGAAAAAAAGTGAACGTTGAGAAATTCGTGAAACTATGCAAATAATATATTATGACGGTGATTTGTCGCACGATTTACACGTGACAGGGTTGATGGAGTAGTCGTTTTACCTTTTTCTTTTTTTTTTTTTTTTTTTTTGGATAGAAAATCTTTTTCTAAAGGCATGACTTTTGTCAAGGTTGCATTATTGTAAATCATAAAGGGTCATGTAGCTATATATATATTAGTTTATAATTGTGTGTTTCTGTACAAAAATACATTCTCAAAACTGGAACAATGAATTGATCATATATAATACTATTTGCTATAAAAAGAAATAGAAAATTAATTGAAAGAATTCATTGATACAGGGTGATGAATTTCAATCTCTAGGATTTTCTGGACAAGCCAGAGTGTCTAATCTCTCCTCAACTTCCATGAGAATTTGTTAAATATTCAATCTGGTACCGATCATATCTAAATTGGCACAACTTTTTTTGGATAAACATAATCAACATTAAATATATGTGTAAAATTTAACTTTTTAATTTAAATTTAATTTAATTTAATTCAAATTTAACTTAATTTAATTTAATTTAACTTAATTTAATTTAAATTTAATTTAAATATATGTATAAAATATTTATTTCTAGCGTGCACGCCCAGTTGCAATTGCAATGACACGAAACAAATGAACAACTTCTTTTTCGAAAGGAACAGAATTTCTATAAAGAGAAGCATTTACGCGTGTCGTTTTCACTTTCCAAACGAATGTCTGAGAAATGTACAGTGTCGCAGAATGTACGGAGAATGTCGGAATATTTGTCCAAGTATTCTCGACCGTGCTTCCTTCAGACTTGAAAATAAAAATGGAGGAGCTGGCGCGAGCCACGTGCGCGCGATCCAACACGTTCACAAGCACGTGAAATGTTTCTGAACAATTATTAAAATACTTCGACGAGTTAAACATATCGAAAAGCCAATGATCATCGTGCTATTCGTTTCGTCGTTCAAAATGAATTTATGTCATCGGCGAGTAATTCTTCGAGAAGAGAATGAACGATAAATTGATGGCAAGATGGAATGAGCGAAAGGAAGAGACAGCTAAAATACACTATATATTTTTCTACGTTCAACTTCATTCAGCTTTCGCGGCGAATTCTTTATCTAGTTAGACGTAACACGTCAAAAAAAAAAAAAAAAGGATAGAAGCAACGCTGGGAATCGCAAATACACGTTCGAAAACGATCGGTATTCCCGTCCTCCTTTTTTTCTTTTCCCTCGCTCGTGTTATGTAAAGGCTTTTGCCTTCGTGGAAGTTCTAACGGTTGCGGGTATCCTTGAGTTTAAATCCCGAGGCACGTGGCAGAACGCAGGACTTCCTTCGATATTCTCACGATTCACGAAAATATGTATACATACACTATATATATATATATATATATATATATATGAATGTATGTAGCAAATCAAGACGCGATAATCGGGAGAAGATACAAAGCAGATAAAAAGAAACAGCGCTGTAACTTCAACTCTTTCACCTTCGCCGCTAAAAAATTGTAAGAATGTCATGAATATTTAATATTAACACCGAAATAGTATTTAACGTTTTATTGGTGACAATTTCGAAGAATAATGTGGGACGAGATATCGTCAAGTTGATTTGAATCGTCGAAGCAATCGAACGAGGCAATACATATGTAACACAGTGACGAAACTAATAAACGCTTGAAATTTTATGGTATTAAACTACTGTGCTAACATAATTCTGGAAAAAGAACCTTCCGATTGATTGTTTTCTTATTTCTATTTGTGCAGTCCAAACGCGAAATTTTGGCAGAGAGAAAAAAAAAAAGGAAAGAAGAAAAATTGATAGACAAAGCAATCAAAGATAAGTGTAAATGGCGGAAGCTTGAAAAAAGATACGGGAGCGATAAAGGAAAGGAAGGCACGTGAGGAGCAACCGATAAAATCGTCACGATTTTACCTAACATGTGACACTCGCTCGGAAACAAGGGGACAAGCGAAACGGCTCGAGCGGCACATTCATTAATCAATTTAGGACGGTAATTCTACATGTAGAGTAAAGAGGAAACAGAGAGACAAAGAGAGAGAGAGAGAGAAATTCGAAAGGAACATGGGAGACGACAGGGCGCGAAGAAAGAAAGATGAAAATAAGTGGTGACACAGGAAAGGGAAGTATAACACGGGGCTACCGGATCACGTTGGATTTTATATCTTCCTATCCTCTCACCTCGGTGCTTCTCGCTTCCTGTTCGGCCAAAAAGATAATTGTAGTTTCCTGACTCAACCGTCGAAACTTCTACAGGGCGTTCAAATTACGGTACAAAAAAAAAAAAAAATGCACAAAATTAATTGCACAATTAATTTACCAAATTGTGAATTGACAAATGCCAAGAATAGAGCATAAATCATAGACACTTGAATGCTACAATCAGTTGTAATTTTCAAAATTTCACTAACTCAATTACGCAAGAGGTTCTAAATTGTTTTGACAAGATAAACTGAATATCCTCTATCTTAGTTTATGAACGAATTTTAATAAATAAATTAATAAATAAATTCTAATGCATATAGTAACATACACCATTCTAATGCACATAGTAACAACATGTTTTGTACATGGTTCTAAAAGCTCTAAGTAAATTATTTCTTTTAATAAATAAATTAATAAATAAATTCTAATGCATATAGTAATGCATATAGTAACATACACCATTCTAATGCACATAGTAACAACATGTTTTGTACATGGTTCTAAAAGCTCTAAGTAAATTATTTCTTTTAATAAATAAATTAATAAATAAATTCTAATGCATATAGTAATGCATATAGTAACATACACCATTCTAATGCACATAGTAACAATATGTTTTGTACATGGTTCTAAAAGCTCGAACAAGTTGAGAGCACAAACCTATTTCTCCTTCCATTAGTTGTTTTAGATGAATCGCTAAACGAATTGACTGTATCGGTTGCTAAGCCCTCTTCCCTCCCCCAAATCGGCATGCGAAACTACTGTTAGAGGTCGAGGACGTCCGGTCGAAATTTCCAATCGGCTGGTTCAACCTCGGCAGCAAGAAAGCGTATGCTAGTCGCGAGGCGAAATGAATGAACAAGTTCTCGCACCTAGCGTTTTACTTGAAAGGCGGCGACATAAGCAGGTGCTGTGCCACAGCTGTCCCCCCTTTGTCTAGGACTTTGTAGGACGCTGTATGACTTGAGCTCTCTGTGCGACTTCAATGACGATTATTCTAATGAAATTCGACGACTTTGAAATCTCGATCGAGATTTGTAGCTTTCACACAGTTGACTTTCTAATAATCGCAAAAATTCATTCACGCAAATCGAATTTGCTCATTCGGTTAACAGCCTATAAAAATTTCTTATAAACATATCTTATTTCAATTGTAGCACCATGCATTTTTTATTTCTAATGATTTCGATATATAGCACATCGATATACAGCGTGAGATTGAATCTCTCAAACAACTGTCTCTGACCATTAAGATTCACGAAATTACTCGAGAAAAGGAGAAAAAAAATAATGTTCAATACTTAAGGACTCGATAGATTTTTAAATTATTCACACCCCATATTTTATATTTCGCTCTGTACTTTATATTTACATCGAGCCGTGTTTATAACGGGAACTGTATCTCTTGTTACATCGGTCGGTTCGTCAAAGAAACACTGGTGTTGCCAAAAACGGCCAGGTAAATCTTGGTGAATTCCGGATAATAAATACCTATCGCCCCGACAGAACGCGACGGGAAGAGGGTTTAACGAAGCTATTCACCAAAACGATGTTACATCGTGGATACGCGATTACACGTTTATTTTCCCCTCCCCTTCGAATTTACGAGTTTTACGATGAAAATCGAGCGTCTCGTGAGAAAGGGAATGAAAAAAAGAACCCATCGTGACCACGCACAACGCGACTACGGACATCTGCCGAAGTTCCGAACTTTCCCCTCGTTTCGACCACTTCCTTGCGCGTTTGTCTACCATATTCTCGTTCCCTTCCTTCTTCTACCCCATCGTTTGCAACAAGCAACCCTAAGGCTAGCAATCTTCCTTTTTCTTTCTTTCTTTCTTTCTTTCTTTCTCTCACCTTCCTTCTTTCCTTCCTTCCTTCCTTCCGTCCGCCTGTTGCTCGTCACGCAACAATAAGGTCATTGCGCGTACCAGCCGCTGTTCTTTCCCAAGTAATGTCCACTGGCTGCCTGTGTGTCCTATGGTTTGTCGGAGAAACCAGACGGCAGACTCGTACCGCTTTTTTGCCTCGTTTGGACGTATCCTTTCAAGATCATATCGCACACGGCCTTCACTCCCAATGGGAAACGTGTCGATAGAAAGAGAGAAATAAATTTGGGGAAAAAAAGAATGAAAAGTAAGAAAGGAAGAAACTGTAGATTCGTTTGGAGGATGACGGGCCCACTACAGCGATAACGAAGGGCTGTACCAAACTGAAGAGGTCAACGTCCGAGTTATTATAGTGCCTCCAAAAGACATCACCAATTCCGTTTCAACGTTGGAGAAATTTAAGGAGAAAGTCTTCCTAATAGATTGACAATTCTACTTCATTTACACTTTTGGAAGATATTTATGAATAGAATTTTTTATCATAATGATCCTCTCGACAGTGAAGGTGACTACTATTGTCAACTGTACGTGAGAACATGTTCTCTCTTGAATAGAAATGTTACACACAAGTGTACAGCATGAAATGATCGTTTGAATTTAATTATTCTGTGTTCGACTCACGTGTACCTAAATTTAGAGTAATATGTCACGTATCATATATTATATAGGATAATATAATATATATTAGATTATATAGGATAATATAATATATTATATAGGATAAAATATCTTGCTTCATTTTCACGTTGCTATATTCTATCAAAGACTGGAGTCGAGTTATCCTCTGATGATATTAGATACACCATAGCCATCCGTGCCATTAGCCTGTAGCAAGAGAACTTAATCTCAGATGATCTTTCTCTCCCAGACAAGATTACATATCTCCTTCCACCGTGCAGGATTACATAACGTCAACACAGACGGCTACGTTTTTTCAGCCTTAAGCCGTTAAAGGTGTTAACGCGATATTCCATCTCATTCAATTAATTTATCATAAATTAACGAATATAATTAGATGTCTAAAATCCCATTTCGAAGAGCGTTTATACTTATTATTTTAGGAACTTCTCTTTCTCAACTATGAACATTTCCTCTTGAAAACGTGCAATTTTCTCTACATCTAATGTTGTCCACTATCTAATAATCTTTCTTATACCAAATGTGTTCTAATCCATTACATAAACTGAAGATAAACTTTCAGACACTGTTAAATTATTTGATCCGTAATGAACGTACCGGAAGACATCCGTCAGGCGGATAGATTCGAAGTGCTATCTAAAAGAAAGCGTAGTTCTGGATAACGGGAACGGGTCAAGAGTAACGGGTCAATGCAATCTGTTATCGTCTGGGATTCCATTTGGTCGCGTGCGACGGCGGTAGCCAACACAATTGATTCTGTCATCGATTTTCCAGAGTTAGGGGACCAGGTGCAAGGGATTCATTGGTCTCTGGCCGTCAGCTGCTACCCCCACGACCCACCCCCTCGCTACAACCAAGCCGACGAGCGCGCGCACGATGCAGTCGCGCGCGTTCCTCAATTTGTGCGTTTAAAAAGCATCTCGTGCCGCGAGAGCCCACTGATGAAAGGGAACGCCCTGATAAAATATGAGGAATTTCCAAGTAGACGTCTTATTAGCTCTATTATCATCAACGAGGCAGGTGACTCTATGCCTGTCTCAGGAATTATTCTACTTTTATAGGTTCACCGCCGTCGTCGTTTCCTTCTTCGATCTGCATAATATTAACATATTATGAATTGAAAACAGATTAAGAGAACTTAATCTTACATTTGTTAAATTACGAATTTATTCGCCAGAAATTCAACAGAATAGAAAAACATGTTAAATTACGAGTAATTCAATTTCGTCGATTGTTGATACAATATTGATATTGAAACGTTAGATACTAAGTTGTGAGATGTTGATCGTTACGTAACTAACTATAAATGCTACGGAGGATTTCTAAAGAAATTTTCTTCAGAAAATATTCGTGTAATTGGGGATACTGTAAGTTTTTAGTTCACCGCGATGTCGGCAGCGACTTGCGGTTATCCGATGGCATCGGGGAGATCCATCCTAGAGAATCAAGGTGATAAGACGAGAAAAGATCGAATGAGGGCGAACACAAGCGAGAAGGAAGAGAAAGACGAGGTAAGATTCAAGGTCAACATGTTTCGGAATCTTCATTCCTCCGCAGAGTGGTCAAAGAAATACCGACAGAACAGCCGATAAAAAAAAAAAAAAAAAAAAATGAAAACCAAGGAAGCTCGTATCGTTCGTCAAGATAAAGACGAGGCGATCGAGAAGTTTGCTTCAGGTTCGACTAAATACATCAAATTTTGCGACATAGCTGGCAAATTAGAAAGCGGCTGAGAAATTGTACGAATTTACGTTTCTGTTTCTACTGGCGACCGACACCACGATAGTCTATACTACTTGGCAACACGTTTTGAAAGTACGGATTAACGACGCTCGACACTCGCACATAACACTCGACCTGCCACCTTGCGCTCGCCAGAAGGAGTAACAAAGACAGCTAATTCATAACCGAAATAGCCTGCTTATGCGTGCGAATGATTTCTAATCCTGTAAATAAAAATTCCATCGTAAGGAGATAAAACTTATTCGGCCCTACTTAGACCGGCGTGAAACGTTGTCGAATTTTCTCTCAAATGTCTGATACGACGATCCGTTCCGTAAAAACGGAAATAGATAGTTGTATGTAGGTACATTCGTCTGCCAGTTCTGACACGTTTCCCGTGCAAGCACAAGGGTATGTATATGGATAGGGGTATATGCCTAACCCATACTCACGTAAATATTCGTGTACATATGTAAGAGCAAACGAGCAGGCAACGACATCAGGGTAGAAGTCCTTGCGAGAGACATCTGGCTACCACCTGCCTTGATGCCCTCGCACTGCCAAACTTCCCCCCCAATAGAACGCCTCACGAGCATGCGCACCCGCTCCTATGACGCATGAACGTGGATGCACGTGTATACGAAGATACACGTGTCCCGAACTCGTCGATGACTTTCCCTGCAACAGAATTGTCAAACAAGCACACGGATTTTTCTGGCGTTTTCTGCATTCGATGCAAGTTTTCTTTTTTTCGAATAATCGCACTGACTCTCGGACGTTCCGATTAGATCGGTAATTAAACGAAAATTAGAAAACTTTGACTCTTCGCAAGGAACTTGAACCTCTTGGTGCCACGCACGTCGAGGATATTTGGCCCAAAATTGCAATGTTTTCTCAGTTTTAAGTATATTGAAATATAACCCAGGCGAAACAAATGATAAATTTATTTACTTATTAGTAATTTCTATCCAGTGATATAACAATAAATTCAAAAACAAGTCGAATTATTTTGTACGGTTTGGTCACTGGTTATGGTCCGCAATCAGTTGCCAGCGCAAGTTATAACCTCTTGCGCTGAAATGACGTG